AGCTTGCCATTGCCCACAGAGCCAAAAACACAATTCCTATCTTGATCAAAGAATCATAATTTAAATCATGTAGAAAAACTCAAGTGGAAGGCGTGCAGATCACCAAATGATGTTTGTTCTGTGACAGCAAGCAAAATAATGCTCAAAACAACCTATTGGTTTATTACCACCCCAGAGAAAACACAAGTAACTGTTTAACATATACCATCACTTAACTTATTCCCATGGTTTTGCTGTGGTGGTGGGTTAAGTGTATTTTTGTTAAGGTGTTGAGTCAACTGGAAATTGCTATTGGGGAGTATGTTTTTGTTTTATTGCCCATGTAAGGTTCCAAGAAGCTTGTGACCACTTGTTCATGAAGGGCAACATTTTCTCTACGGATGGCACTTACACCAAGTACTTGCTGGACACTTTTGGGAGCAAGCCGGTCCTCCTGGTCTTTCGTCACAAGCCACTGCAGCTGGGTGGACCAGGTTCAGTGACTGCAGACCTGAAGAAACGTACGCTGGCCAGGACACATGACATTTGTTGGTTTCCAATCCTTCAACATTTCCTCGCCCCCCAGTGTGTGAAAGGGTATCATTTTGATAAACCATTGATTGCTTCAATCTTAACATAGCAAGGATGATGAACTGGACAAAGCTTGCTGGAGATATAATTCGGGCTGAATTTCCCAGCTATGGTGTGTTGAGCCACCTCTCTCAATGCACATTCCTGGACAAGAACAAGTTCAAAAAGAAGAACAAAGACTTGTCAGCCGCAATGCTAGCATCCTTGAAGGCTTTGAGTGGTGCTTGGAAAATCAGTTTTGTTTCTTGGCCCCATGGATAGAAGGATTTACAATAATGAACTGTTCTTGACAGGTTGGTAGTAAGCCTGGTAGGTCTACAGAACCGTGGACAATCTTTAAAAAAATACCCCTACCCTACTGGGGGTAGTTTTGGGTGTTTCAAACCCATGCATTAAATTTCAGAACCCTTTCAAGCCTTCCTGCACAATCAGTTCATTTAGCTAAGCACCCACCGATTAATCAATAGGGGGGAATACCAACCATGGGAGCTCTCATGCCAAGGTCTCCCTCCGAGCAGAAATGCAAACACTATATCCAGCTGCTCTTGCATTAATGGTGGCAGAAGATTTGGATGCGGTCACTGCATGGGGAAGGGCCCTTCTGAGAGAGCGGAAGCTCTGTGGACAAGGTGCTTGTGATGCCGCTGGGCAGATCATAGTCAAAGCACTGGCCTGGGCGTTCTCCACTTCTGATGTGGAACGCTTGTCCCATGGTGGCATGACTGGGTTTGATAAGTTGGTTGATTGGAAACCATAAATTTGCCAGTAAAATTTTGCCTGAGTATTATATGGTGGCCCAAAGGGCCCTTAAGGCCTGAGTATAATTATTTATGTTTGTGTGTTCTGCTGATCTCAGGTTCAGCCACAGTGTTTGGCTTAGTGGTGCTAAAAGGGGCACTATTGGAATGGATGTGTTGAACGATGAGATCCGGGTGGCATATCTTGACCCTGCTGATGCAAGCGAAGCCATCAATATGGCACAGCTTGAGTGGGTGCCTTGTATGAAATTAAATTTGCAAAGACCCAGTCAAACAGAAACAATATGTGGCTGCTACAGGTAAACACAGGTATCCATTTCACCAACTTGTCACACAACTGTTAGTTGAATAGTATCTTAGGCCCGTGTTTATGGAAATGTCAGGGAGGCTGGGACATGAGCATTTAATTTACGAATCACTTTATTCTTGTTTTGAGAATCAACCCCTTTGAGGCTCTGTTTGCCTACTTGCCAGGCAAAGCCAAGAAAGCACAAAAGGAAGAACAAAGTTTCCAAAGTTGGTGAATCTGACTGGCTGAGAAAGCGCCGAAAGCTTGTGTCCAAGGCGGTGGCTGGCAGCAGTACTGTGGCTGCTGAAGCACAAGGGGCTGCATCGCTGTCCCGTGGCCTCTGGTGCGACAAACAGAAGAAAGAGAGGACACTTCAAAAACAAAGAGACCATGTCAACCGATCCCTGCTTGCATGTCCTGCATGCTAGCTTGAGAAAGCTTATTTTCATCATATTGTGGGTGCAGCCACTCTTTCAGAATTGAACAAAACACATAGAGGTTTCCAAAATTATGTGATGATTTGTGATACCGCTACTCAAATGAGGAATGGAGGCAATGAAAGATGGGCTCTTGCATGCCAAGACCATGGGGCAAAAGCGAGACTTGCACGCCTACAAAAAGAAAAAGCGTGAGCTGAGAGCAACATATTTCAAGAACCGTGCAAAGTGTGGGGGCCCGAGTGCAAAAAAGGCAAATTGTTTTTTAATTCATGGTCAGTTCAATTCAATTGAAGTATCATGTCTTGTCCATTGATTTATATACTCAAAAGCCCCATGTCCCCATCGGTGATGAGGCCGCCAAGCCACCAAGAGCATCTTGGCTGCAGTGGTGATCTCAAGAACGTAGCGATGGAGACAAAGTAGCTCACACTGCATGCAAGGACCGGTGCTGATGGACCACACTGGAAAGTCCTTCTATGTTGAACCTCCTGTACGGAACCAAATCTTGGCTGAAATAACCAACAAATTTGGTGGGTCAGTGTCTTGGCTAAACCAATACCATTTTGAATACCTTGCAGCTGGCATTGCTCAATTTGGTTTTCAGAGAATTTCCACAACATGGCAAAAAACAGTGAAATAATGTAATAATTGCAGTGGTTCCTCAGATTATTTGCCTTGGAAACTAAGGTGGTTCAGTCCCGGGTGAATGCCCAAATTGTTGTCACTGATTCTGACACTCCCTCTTTACGGAGCCAGCTTGCCATGATGATGGTTGGTGGGTCAGTGATGCACTCCTCCCGGCTTATGGGACAGAACGGCTTCATGTTGTCCTACAAGAGGGTTACACGGACACCCAAAATGGTTCACATCACTGCTGCTTTCCGAACTGAATTTCCTGGGGCTGCTCATGTGATCAGCAGCTTGGCTTTTATGTTAATTCCAAAAGTTCTGTTATGAAAAGCTGTGGCTGCAAGCCTCTGTTATGGGGCCTTCGGGCCAACTGAGGATCTGGTATCCAGAATCAATCACCGCCTCGTTTGTGGAAATTGGTGACCATGGATGAAATCTGGGTGGGATACTTAGACTTGAATGCTTCCATCAGCTATTTGATTCAAATCCTTGCTAGACTCACCAATCCACAAAATAAGGACAAGAAGAAGAAAAAGTACACATCTTCCCGGTTCTTGTGCTTGGTGGGCAAGAATGAAGCCAACACTAGCCAGGAGGCAGTTTGATTTATGAGGAGATTAATAATAGTTTTATGATTTCACATTGTCATTCGAAAAAATGTGGATGTTCAGTACAAGTCTTGCACCTTGACAGGTGAGGAATTTGAAAGCCCTGAAGATCAAACTTTTGACCGGGTTGAACATTGCCAAAACTCTTTGTCAGCTAGATGAAGCCAGAACCATACGTGGTATTTGTGGTGCCTGGTAATGGGTTAAGCCTGCTGCCTTGGCCCATTATATATTGGTTTCTGATGGTACCTTGAAACAAATCAAACCCAATTATCTTGAAACAACCTTTAGTTGATATAAAAACTTTGATTTACCAAGACCTGCCAAGACAGCAAGCTCAGTTTGAAAATCACACATGAAATTGTGTGGGGGGACAATTCAGCGACTTGAAGAACAAGTTGTTTGATCAGCTGCTTCATTGCAAAACGCAATTCATTGTTCTCTGCCCGGAGAGCTTTGTTCTCATTCTCGAGAGGATGGATCTGAGCGCCAAAGATCAAACAGGATGTCATCTGGGCCAGGCGGCACAGGTGCAGATCACCTTTGAAACTCAAGCTTGATCAGTGCTGTTCTTGTTGCCTGAACCCATTCGGGGCTTCACATCTGCACAGCAGATTTCCAATGTTTTCAAGCTCCAAGATCTCCACTTGGTAAGCCATCTTCCATTTGGTGTCTCTTCTGGTCTTGGCTGGGATGACACTGACCAAATCTATCATTGGTTTCATTAACTTTATCCAAAAGGATATTGATTTTCGCTAACGGGGAACCTGTACAAGTTACTATCGCTAACAGGTGAACTGTACGACTCGCTAACGGTGGATGTGTATCGCTAGCGTTAGTGAATGGCCACTTGAACCTAGAGTCAGGTAAGAAAAATATTTTTTGTGCTACCCTGATGGTTCAACACTTTAAGGAAACTACTGTAATATGGGATTGCGAAATGCACAACCTCATAAACCGATCACTAGCGCTAGTGACTGTTCTATGGAACTTTCCATTTCGTTGGAGAGACTCTGATGATGTGTATTCGCAAAAGGGGTCTTGCGAAAACATAAGTTGGGGAACTGTGTTGAGAAACAAAATTTTCCATAGAGACATCGCTAGCGCTAGTGACTGTCCTATGGAGCTGCGAATTTCGCAGGCTGGTACTACAGTGTTTGCCTTAAAGTCACTTGCAACATTCATCCCACTGAAAAAACATTTTTGGTGGGATGATGGATGATGTTATATACTAGATTGCTTTGGTGAGCCCTTTTTGGCTCTGTCTTGCTGGCCAGCCTTGCGCTTCCAGCCATGGCCAAGACAAAGCGCAACAGTGGATCCTCAGCTGCGCGGGCACCATCCAGTATTGCTGACAATGCCAGCGATGCTGGGTCAACTGCTTGCACCTCTGGTGCTGATTCTTGGCTAAGGTTGGTATCTTTTAACAATCACCATTGGCTTTCTGGTGGTTGGGGTTTGTCCTATGGAATTTTGATGTGATGATTTATTTTAACCAATATTTTTTCCAAACCGTCAAAACCCAATCCATCTTAATGATAAACAAATTATTTTATTGTCATCATTGGGATTTGGGCTTCAATCCACTGGTAACAGATTTTTTTATCACACCACATCATCAATAGTAATTTGTTCTTGGGAGACCCAGGCTTACAATGTGGACCTCATTGATGAGTACAAGAGTCAATGCCGTGAGCTACTGGACATGTGGGCTGATATTCAGTATGCTGATGCCCTGCTGATTCGTGATGGTGGCCAAGAGGCAACTGTTGTTCTTTAAAGCATGTCAACATGGATTTTGTGCAATCAACAGTAGTAATTTCAGCTCTTTGCAGGCGCCCTTCAATGCTACGCACTTCAACACTGCGATGGATGCTGACAGGGTTGAAAGGAAAGCTTACAAATGTGGCCAGAATTGGTGGCGTCACAATCTTACATGGTCTGCATGCCCTGGGGCAGCTCAGCTATACTTTTTGTTGGGGTTTCAACTTCACACATCAAAGTATCAGTGTTTTTTGGTCAGAAGTCTTGACATGCAATCAAATGCACATTTTTTGATGGCTTGTGCTTGCTAAGACCCCGGTTCGTGGAACAGCGGTTGACAAGATCATGCGGTTCCACTTTGAGAAGCCTGCTCCCTACCCATTGACCTTGAAGGTTTGGGTACCGTCTCTTGGCATCATTTCCCCATGGCTTGTGATTGAAGAGGGCAATGGTTCTCTCGGTTGTCAAACCTCTATCAGTCATCAGTGTCCGTGGGTTCCAGGAAGATACCATAGGAACAATGGTCAACCAGCGCTTCAAACCACTGCTGCAATGACAATGATGAAGGTGCTCCACAGATGGTTCTATCCAATGGTATCCAAATCTAAGATCAGGATCAATTGTAACGGGTATGTCAATGTAACCTCTAGGCTTAGCTCCCCAGGTCTTAAGTTGTTTCTCTCTTAAATCATCTAAGGCCTGACATGGAGAGCGGTGCAATCTGCAAACCAAGTGCAAGCGAGGATCCGTTGGAGAGCTTTGGGCGCATCAAAATGCTCACCCCGTCTGAGATGGATTTTGCCTTTGTCAAGGCAGCATTCAGAGATCGCAATGATGCGGATAAGATGGAAGAATGGAGGACCAGCTTTTAAATGTCAAAAAGCCCCTTAAAGTCAAATTTAGTGGGTTAAGCCTCCAGTAGAGGGCATATGAATGTCACAATTTTTGGAAATCTAGTTAGCTCACAGCCCAATGCAGGAAGTACTTCCTGTCCGTGAGCTTTGAATATCTGAAGATTGATTGCCCTTTGGAGGAGTGGCTTGGCCCATTAAGCATTAATGCCACTTTTATTTTCATTTATGCATGTTTACCTGATCCTGCATTGTTTGATTTCAAGTCCCTCTGCCAATTTAGGCTTCACCTTGTGGCGATGCAAGAGCGACAGAACCTTGATCTGCAAATTAGGCACCTTCTAATCATCCAACCTATTGCATACTTTAGACACAAAAGTGCGGTGTTTTACAAAACCCAAACCCCCAAAGAACAATTGCACTTAGAGATGATCTTGGTGTTTGTGTGATGCTTACTGGTTGTGGCCCAACCTTCAGTTGATATGACTAAGGACTATCGAGTTGCATGGAGTCACTTTGGCCCACAGCCCGCTCCAAAACTTTTTCAATGTATTGACCTTCAAACAATCTTTGGAGGAATCCAGGGGCCCCTTGACAGCGGACAAGCTGGCAGAGCTTTATGACAAACATGTGAAGTTCGCCAACCCAGATGACGCTGCAACTTGGCTATGATGACACTTTATCACCTGACCATTCACTCAGGCTCAGTAAATTATGTTTACAAAATTATTCAATGTGCATCACCCAAGGTCTCGCCATCATTCATTGATACTGCCTGCACAATGGGCAACAGAGTTTCTTGCTTGCAACTCCAGGCTATGATTAATTCATATATAAATAATATCAATAATATCAATCCCTGTTGGCACCATTTGCCAAGGTGCTGTGTGACCCAGACCTTGCTGAGCTGCTCCTCAAGGCGGATGAAGGTGATCGGAAAGCTTTCAGCCACTGGAGCAAATATCAAATCTTGGTTCAAAAGGGCAGGACACTTGAAGGAATCCGGTGGCTCTTCTTTGCAGTGCCTCTTGCCTACAACAATGACATGAGATAGTGGCCAATCTTTTCTATTTTCAGTTAATGTCAAGCCCAACTTCATCAAGCACAACTGAGGTATGATGGGTATTTCATGGGTTATCTCTCCTCGGACAAGCTGTCCACAAGGAACCTGCAAGCCATCACCTGCCAAACGCTGCTGGCACAGAAGAGCTTGCTTCAATTGATCTTGGAAAAGGTGGATACAGACTTCACTGATTGGCCAGGATCTGTGAAGAAAGCCGCTTGTCTATTTTTAAGTGGTGCAAGTCAAGGTGTCAAATAAACTGTATTCGTGACTTGTGATTTTGATGTATCAGTTGAGTTGCCTGTCACTTTAAGGCCATCAGAGATGCCACTGCGAGCCACAAAGACTTCCGACTGTAACTTGCATCAATTCTAAGTTTCAAAGTTCCAATGGTTTCAAAGTTCCGATTCTAATTCAAACTGGCTCAATGTTGGATGAGCCCTGAACTACCCAGTCTCTCCCCCTGAATCAGGCGGGCCTCTGGAGACATCACATGGCGAGCTGGATGGCCACCATCAGCTGAGAGCCTTTGGGGGCTAGTCGAAGCAACTTGATTTGCAAAAAGGATGCTTCAGTTTTGAAACATCTGACTCAGTGAAGTTTCAGATGAACTTAGCAATGTCAATTCTGAAAAAAATATGCTGTTACTTTGCTCAACTTATGGCCAAGGATGCTTGCTTTGGGGATGGCCATTGGTCTACTTTGGTGAGCCTAGTCAAGAACAGGCGAGCCCTGACTGAGTTCTTGTCAGCCCCGACAATCAACCAAGAGGTGACTGACATCGAAGAGAAATACAACGCAGAAATCAAAGAGAAGAAGAAAAAGCTCAAGCTTGCTGCTGGGGAACAGCATGAAGAGGAAGAAGCCGATCAGAAAGCGGCTGATGAAGATGATGCGGAAGAACCTCAGGATGCAGAGCTGCCACACATGCTGGTTGGAGAAGATGCAGGGCTTCCCATGAAGGAGCAGGATTTGACGGGTGACAAGCGTGAGAAGGCGTGCCTGCCTCTTCTTTCTTTGATTCTTGCCCCCACCGCTTAACATCAATAATATAATTTTAATATAATACCACTCATAAATAAACATATTAAACAGGATTTGTGGCAACTTAGAACTTGTGATATGGCTGCCCCTTCGTCCATGTGAGGCTGAAAAGTTAAAGGACAAGCTGAAGCAGCTGAAAAAGCTTGCCCAGCGCAAGGCCCTTTGGCATTATTTCTTGTTTGCTTGGTTCAATGTTTATTCTAATGCAGTCAATGTCAATGTTTCTTCAATCTGATTAGGTTCACACCACAGTGAAGCTGATCGTGGACCCTCAGTCAGAAGATAAACTGGTGGACTTGTACATGGACAGCTGGATGAGCGATCATGTGGATGAGAAGAATCTTATCTTACATTTTTAGTTGGCTCAAACAAAAAGCCAACTGGTTGGGATGCCACACTGACCACATCTCCAAACTGTGCTCAGGAGAATCAATCACCCTGGAGAAGATCCCTTTTGCACTTCCTTGCTGGGTCACTTCTTTGACTCTAAGAAGTGCAGCGAAGCAGCTTCTCATCCGCATCTTCGTGCTCCGCCATTGAAAGATGGACGGGTCCAGAAGCTTCTGTCAGCAATTGTGCTCCTTGGCTCCAAATGTTGTGCTGGTTAAATGACAAACATGACAACATGACTCATTGATGTTGATTTATGGTCATACCAGGAGGGTGCGATTTCCCACCAATGCTGATGGAGCTCCTACTTTTAGCACCAGTGACATCTTCTTCATGAATGATGGAGGTCGCCCAGGTTGGGGTAGACTTCATGTTTGTTTCATTTTCATACCCTGTTCTATTGTTCATGGTGTTCAACTCCCACTTGGTGTTGTGCACAACCCTGCAGGGCACCACAACCAGCTGTCCACTTTGAAAGCTGGTGATGATGCTATTCAGAAATGTGAAAAAGTCTTGACGGTGATCTACTCGGAAGAGTCCATTGCAAAGCGCAAGGAGAAAAACAGGCAACTGGGAGCTATCAAGCAAACAGAATCGATCTACATGCTGATGTGCCCGACGGGCTGCCGTGTGATGAAGAAAGCACGGCTACTTGTCTTGATGTATCTTACAGAAGTCTTCAGAGTTCAAGTTTTCTCAAGCTAAACTAAACTTGGCAGCTTAGGCTGCACCATGAGGGAACCAACAGGGGTGACTCGATCTATGGAGTTGCCATGCCGTCGCTGGATTCAAGGACGACATGGGCCATGTGCCTTGAAAGCATATTAACATGGGAAATCATGGGGATTCATATCATCTCTTTGGGATTGTATTGTCATCATCATCATCATCATCATCATCATCATCATAATCACCATCATCATCATCATCTTCATCATTCTAAATTTTATAGTTAATTTCAAAAAGTTATAATATTGGTTTGGTGCCGGGGTTTCATGTACGCTTGGGGATTAAGTGTTTTATTTACCCTGGGGATTGTAAATTAAATTATTTTACTATCAACCCAATTACCAAATTATGTGGTCCATCATAATTACATGTATTTAAGAGGCTTGACCCTTGAATATGTCCAATCCAAACATGGTAATGTTTCGAAAATTGAGGCCTGTGAAGGAGAAGCGGGAGCTCTATGGCAAAGCCCGCATAGCAGTGGGAGGTCAAGCCCCTGAAGCTGAAGTTGATTCTGGAGGTGAGAATCTTTGATTTCATTGTTAAATGCCAAAATCATTCCCACCCACCATGTGCCCTCTCCCAAGCCAAACCTCACATTTTTGCCAGGGCGCAAGAGTGATAGCTTGACTGAACCGGTCTTTTACCACTCTGGTCCTTACTCGTTGGATGAAGAGCTGGTGGCACGGCATGCCGTGGGTGCAATCAATGACCTCACACCTGGTTTCTTGGGCTATGAAATAATAAAACAGTCATTGTAATCAGTTCAGCCATCATGTGCAAAAAATCTGCAGCATGGTGCCAGCATCAATATTTCACATGGCCAATCAGTCTCAGGATGTGGGAACCTGGCCATGATTGCAATCAGAAAGAACTTGCCCTATGTGGGACTTGTCTTTACGCCAGCCCATGTCTGGAGCTTATTTGAGCTTATCAGTCAAAAGGCTATGCTGTTGTTTTTGATGGCTTTTAGGCCACAGCTTTGACCGCCCGCTTGGAAACTTTGGTCTTCCAGGCAATGCAGGACTGTTGGAGTTTCAAAAAAAATGCCAATATGTTCTTCATTCAGTGTTGCAGTGCAGGAGCCCTCTGACCCGCTCTACAACCATGAATTGGCCAAATTGATAAAGGATGCAAAAGCCCTCAAGAGTGAGGCTGGTTGATTTGCTATCTGGTAATTTATGATCTTGATTCTTGATGTGATCATTTATATCAATGATCCCACCTGAAACCAGCATAGTCTTCGTCCGATCTTTGCCCATGGCCAGGTGGACAAGAAAAACAAAGGTGGCGCAAAGTCAAAGGCCAAGCCCAAAAAGGGAAAGAAAGTGGTTGATGATGAGGAGGATGAGGATGGCGAAGACCATGAAACAGATGATGAGGAGGATGATGTCAAGGAGGATTCTGAAGACCCGGATAAGGAAGACAGTGAAGGGTTGCCAGACTGGATCAATACAGATGGTGAGGAAACAGAGGCACCCAGTGAGGCCCCTTCCTGCATGGACCTTGGGGAAGATGAGACCGGCAAAAAGCCAAAGGCCAAGGCAAAGGCCAAGGCCAAAGCAGGTGCCAAAGCATCTGCCAAGGCCAAGGCAAAGGGAAAAGCAAAAGCAAAGAGCAAACCGACCAAGGAGAAGAAGCCTCGCAAGAAGAGCCAAAAAAGTGAGGATGCAGAAGATGCTGAGGATGGTCCGGAGTTTGGTGATGATGCAGAAGATGCGGAGGATGATGACCAGGAGGAAGAAGAGGTTGTGAAAGTGAAAGAAAGCAAGAAAGCAGAGAAAAAACCCAAGGAAAAGTCCCAGAAGAAGCAGAAGCGTGAGTCTGAGAAGGCCTGGCCCATGCTTGCTCACTCAACATCTATGTTCTTGCATGCCCAATGTTCAGTGTCCGTTCCCATCTTCTTTCAGCCAGGCGTCTGGCAAGTCTGCGGCCCAGAAGTTGCGCAAGCTGGCCCACGGCGGCTCCTGAAGGGTTCACATGAATCATGTGATGTGCCCAGGGGTTGAGGCCAGTGGGAATGACTGAGATGTGAGGTCACTTCACATGAAATAACACACCAAAAAAATATGGGGCCAGATTAACTTCAGCATCTCAGTCCGATGAATTTTGCAGGCCTCCCCTGCTGGTTTTTCATCACAAAATGATGATTTTGTGGTTCGTTGTCAGCCTGGAATACCAGAAATCACACCCGTCAGCGTTTATGACAATCAACTTTATTTTTGGGATTGATTTGAATCAAACATGTCATTGTTTTCTGATCATAATTTGCTTCGCGGGTGTGCAGGTGTGGCTGAAAGAACATGATGGATGGCTTTTCATCACAAGATGATGATTTTCTTTTAGTAGGTTGAGTTGTCAGCTTGGCGTTCCATAGTTCACACTCAATGCTCATGATAATCAACTTCATTTGTGTTTTAAGTAGACATTTACATCAAAACTCTACTCCACATTTATTTTGATCATAATTTTAGGGGATGCAGCTGAAAATACATGAGGGGAACCAGCGGTGCTGATCACCGGTCTGTGGATTGAAAGGTGTGCATGTCAGCACACATTCGAGATTTCAAGAACAAAATGTGGTCTGCTGAAGGCTGTTGGATGTTGATCACATCGGTCACTGTCAATGTGGAACTTTTTTGAAGACAATTGATCGTTGCTTGAATCTATTTATTGTTCATTATGGTTCAAGATCACCATCATGGTGATTACGGTGGGCTCTGATTTTTCAGGGCTGGAGTGCCTCAGCTGGGCCTGCAAGACCCTTTGCTAATTCAAAATTTTGTCCATGAAGCCACATGTGAGGTTATTACTTGGGAAATTCTCCTTACAGGAATCGATTAGATTTGATGGGTCCATTCCCACCTGCACTCAGGAAAGCTGGCCTGGACTACAGCCTCCGTTTCATCAGTGAAGTGAATCCATCTTTGAGGTCCTTGGTCGAATTCATCCATCAACCAAAATGTGTCTATGAGGAGCTTTGGATTGCACGCATGTGTGCATGAATGGACAGTGTTGTGAAAGATTAGGATGTATTAAGATGTGTTCAACTTAGGATGTATTAAGAAAATGATTTGAACTTGTTTGGCAGTGTGTCATCATTCAACCAAGGATGCTACCTGCCGAAATATCAAGGAAATGCCCAAGGTCATGCTCTATGGTGCTGGACCACCATGCCAGGGAGTCAGCTCGGCAGGGAAAAAAGGGGAATGGAACCTGGCCTGATATTCAACTTACTATTTTTATATTTCTGTTTTGACATGAAGGGGATTGGTTACTGTGTTTTTTCCAACTAAAATCAAATCAAGGCAGACCCACGTACAAGATGTGCCGGAGCATCCATTGCATACATCAAACATAAACAACCTCAAGCTGCCTTGATTGAAACAGTGCCTGGTGTGTTGTCCAACAAGAAGCTGCGGAGAAGAGTATATCAACGCTGGGTAAAGCAGTAGCTTGCCAAGGTTTGGATGGTCATGACTAAAATTTGGCAAAGTGGTGCCCCCTCAGATTTAAGTTATATAGTTGGTTCATAAACCCCTATTATCAAAAATGATAAATTTACCATAACAACCATCATGTGTAAACCTCAACCACCTTGCACGCCCTTGCCATCAAGGATCTATGACATCAAAGATGGCAATGGTACCAGGACATACAATCTCTTCGCCAAAGTCCTGAAGGCAACGGACTTTGGTTTGCCACAGGCTCGAAAGCGATTGTTTTTGAATCTTGTCTCAAACCAAGTTCAATTGGGAACCAATCACAACAATTTTATTTTGTGGCCATGGCCATATCTAGACAATCACAAGGATCGCCCTCAAGAAGAAACAACAGCACTACAAGTTCAAGTGGCCCAGCCCATCAAAGACACGCCCATCCCTGCTCAAGATCTTGGATAAGAAGAAAAAAGGGAGTGGAGGCAGACGAAGCATGTCATTTTTTCAAGATGTATCAAGTTTTTTATGTTTCACCTGTTGGATATTGTTGGATTATTTTTTTGCATCTCTAAATATGGCAGCCCCTTCTTGAGAGTGTCTTGGATAACTGAGGAAAGCTGCCACCTCATGCACAAAAGATGCTTAAACGTGGCATCAAGCGTGTCCTTGACATGGGTGGCAATCCGAAGAAAGAAGTGTGGTCCACGTCTCAGCTTGTGCCGGGGATTCAGAAGTTGTGGGGATAAGAAACATGAATCTATGATGGGGATAATAAGGTATGCTTACTAGAATATTTTATGTCAAGATTTGATATACTTCTTACAAGCATCCAAGGCCTAAGAAAATCAAACCATAAACTTCCAAGACTTGAGAAAATCAACGCATAAAGTTCCAAGACAGGACTTTTCATAATTACTTGAACATGCGCTCTTGGTCTTGTCATTCGGTGTCTCGTGTTTCTGTGGCAACAGCTCAGCATGTAGGGAAAAGGGTAATGCTGCTGATGATGACGATGATGATGATGATGATGATGGTGGTTATGATGATGATAAAGATGGTGATGATGTTTTGGACTGGCGCTTCTGCTCTCAGGCTGATTGATGTGGGAGCTGGTGCAAAGTTCCAGTGCAAGCCTTCGTCATCAACATGCCCAACTTTGACTGCAACCCGAGCAAGGCAAGGCGGTTTCTGGCTCACAAAAGCGAACCGAGCCCTGAGCCCAACAGACTCTTGTTTTTGTTAGTATTTTGTTTACAGTTTTTTTTTCTAAGATACCTACTTTTTTGCAAGAGGCATCATCATGTTGAGGAGTGCCTAAAGCTGCAAGGGCTGCCAACTGCTTTGCATGATGCTGCATTGGAGATGGGTATGACGGACGGTGCTCTCATGGCTGCATGCGGAAATGCGTGGCCAGTGAATGTGGTTACAAAGTTGGTTGGAGAAATCAAGAAGGCCATGTCATGGCAATGCTGAGATAATGCTGAGATGATGGGGAAAAAAGGCTGAGCTGTTGCCACTGAGTTTTGTAAGTTGTCTTCATCATTTTGCCAGTTGACATGTTCATCTGTCCATCTCTGAGGCCAGAGCGGTGCCAACTGCAGCAGCGGTGGCAGTGGCTGTGGCGGCTGCTGCCGCTGCTTGGGGTTTGTGGGGCAGGGTTCAATTATCTTTGATTTTAATCCCATGATTCAATTCAAAATGGACCACAGGAAACACTGACCTATACAACTAATACTTTTACCCCATCAACTTTTCAATTTTCTTAAATACAGCTAAGTATATATATATATGTATATTTAATTATATTTAGATCATTTCATATCCGGATATATCAGGGAGAATATGAACCATCCAAGAATCATCCAAGAACCATCATAGTAAAGCCTAGGCACCTTCGCAAGCAACGTGCAGCTTCACAGATCCACCTGGACTCAGAACTCGAGAGAAAACCTAGAATCTTTCAAGAACAAACCTATGACTCTAAGGATCCTAGATCATGCTAGTGCTTGCATTTAAAACGACTGCAATCATTGAGAGTTCCGATTCTGCAGGGTTTACCTCCACTGATATCAGTTACATATGCTTTTTCCCTTGATATTGTTGTTTTCAAATGTAAATGCTCCTGCTTCTGCTCTATGTTTTGAATTAATTATGATGTTTGAGCTGTTAATTCGACTCTCAGATCTGAAGCCACAAGTCTATTCAATTCCATCCATTCACATTCAGCAAAAATATCCCCAAACAATCATGACACCTCGCGATCTCAAGCGAGACATTCCAACAGTGCAGCTACATTCCGACCTGTGTCGTTGACCAGCTTTGGATCATATGCGAAATCTCCATGTGGCACCACAGCAGCCGAAATCAGCTTTCCACTGGCAACAGGCAGCAGCGCCAAATTCGCCAGCATCAAGGCGGTCATGGCGCTCCAATGATGAACCATGCCCAATACAGGGAGCCTCTGGGAGCCTGGTGTTGCTCAGTTGCCCAATATCGAAGGTGCTCCAACATGGGAAAATCCGGGCGATTTTTGGGTGACAACAGCAGGACACGGTTTTTTTCAGGTTTCAGGTTGAAGGCAATGCCAAGAAATGAGTCATGATATGTCATGATGTTTCTTTCGCACCTTGACTTTGGACGCACATCAGTATGATACCATGTTTTGGATACTCCGACTGCGGTGAACAGTGGCTTTCCACGTTCTAAAACGTACAGTATATTAAACAAAGAAACAACAAGATCTCTGTCTTGTGGCATAGACTTGGAAGGCCACTCAAAAATTAATATCTATCCATGGTTTAATTCACAGTAAAACCCATTGAAATACCATTTAAGACATGGGTAAAAAAAAACATAGTAACTCCATGTAACTCCCATTGAGAGCCGTTTCAGATCTTGAGGAGATTCATCTATAGTGATGTCCTGAGGATATTCAACACCTTACACCCCCGAACTTCCCAGGATTCACAGCATCCCATTGGCCTCCACGTGAGGCGGACCTAAGGCCGAAATCATGAGAAAAATGGAGCAACTCTCAGTTCTTCATATTCACAAGATTTCACAATAGCGACAATAGTCGCCTCAATAGTCAGACTCAAGTTGCGAAGCGAAATCAGCCCCCAATCCCAGTCTGCGCCCCATTTTCAGGCGACGCTTTTTTGGGTAAGATGTGCCGTGGGCATCTATCGGCTCAATGGCACAAGTTCACGCGAGCATCTCCCCTATCTTCCCGTGACCTTGCGACGGGCCATCAAACCTACAAGCTGCGGCTGCGGTGTCGCCTTTCAACATCCCTTCATGGCTGTCCAACCTGTCCCTTCATGTCGCAGAAGGGGGATCCTGCAAAGGAGCAGCACGGCAAGATCCTCCAAAAACTTTTCATATCTTCGAATGCTGAAGATGGTATGCATCATGCACACAAGAGGTAAAACCATATCTATATGATCTACAGTATAATGGTGCTTCATATTGGAAAATTCTTCGACAGGACAACCTGTGGAAAGGACTTTTACTGAAACATGTCCGCGGGCTGGCTGGATAGCAACTTGCACCTCGATTCTGCTGATGTTCATTACAAAACTGGAACACTTGGATGATCCAAAATGATCCAAATGGATCCAATTCAAACAGCTTTGGCAATTTTTCAACATCTTGGAGATGTCTGAAGGTGCAAGCTTGGCGCGGTTTACGCCACAGCCTGCCACGCGTAAACCCTCACTCACTCCTGGGACGGAGCAGTAGGGGATCCATGCTCCACACTTTGGCCAGCCTTGTTGGACTTCTGACTTCTCTGTACCATAAAACATATTAAACATCGAGATCAGAATTAGGAACACCTCAACAAGATTGCTGCAGAACGGATAAGGTTGATGGGATATCTCAGTGAATCTGAGAACTGACAGTTTCGACAAGCATTCACATGAAGGATCTGTCCTGGGTATCATAGGAGGGTGCCAAAACTCATGATAACTTGCCGGTGCTTTCCCACTATGTCAAGTGCATATGTGCATGGGATGTCTCTTATTCGCAAGTGCAGGGAAGTGGCCAGTCAACCATCAAGTTCAAGGGTGATTACCGGGCAACCTTTTCGGAAAGCCACGTAAATTACAGTATGGCTGGGAAACGCAACATTGCGTTTATATAGTTTCTGTCCAATTATCCAATGTTAATGTTATATGGGAACTGTTCAACGTCACGTGAAATTCCCGATTTCGGCCTCCCTGTCACAACAGTCCTCATCTTCCTCGTCATCTCCTTCCTGCCCACCCTTGAAGGCAATAACAGCCTGGCACGTCTGGCACGTTTCGGAATCGTAACTCAAGTGGACCATTGGGTATAACTGCAGTGTATATTGATATATATATATTATAATAATAACTATATATATATGTATGTGTACATATGTATATATATATAATATTAAAAGAACATTTCGCATATATGTCGCATATCTAACTTCTACGTGGCCAACTAATCAGAAAAGCACTTGAGGTTGAGGACCCCAATAGAAAGTAATAGAAGTTCACACAATAATTCCATCCAAAATCATCTAAAATATTCCAAAGCCATCTAAAACCATCTAAAATCATCTTAAATCATCTTAAATCGTTTAAGATCGTTTAAGATCATTTAAACACAACATTTAAACTCTATAGAAATCTTCCATATAGGACCTTGGCACCATTGCCCAATGGCACCTTGCAGCCTTCCGACACTGCATGACGTGAGAGCTCACCAGGGAAGACCAGGCGAACGGCAGACTGGATATCACCTCAGCGAAAGATCAAGGATCCAAAACTTTCCCAGAAATCACGTCATGAAATCAGGTGGAAATCATGGTGAAACAGTTCGTGATTTCCATTGTGATTTCCATTGTGAAACCATGAGTTGAAGTTGGTCAAAGTGTTGTTGCCAATGTCGAACTTGCTGTTTCAAGTAACGGGTTGTGAGTGTCTTGGAATCACCACGGCGATGCAGGTTACCGGCCTGGAATCTGTGGACAGAATCCGAACCTGGTGAAAATTCAGAAACTGTTGGTATCTGTTGGTAAATGGATGTTCACCCCCAAATGGTAGATATTGGTAGATGCTAGGATTCCATGATAATCCATGCCTTATTCCATTTCACCTTCAAATGTCATCTGGATTCCATCATATTCCATGGATATTCCATCATATTCCATGATATTCCATGAATTTCCAGCATTTTTCCATGGATATTCCATGCATTTCCATTTTTTTTTCCATGTGGAAAACCTACGGTCTCCCGGTTATCCCGGCCCGGTCCTCAGCAGAGATCCGCTCAAAGGTATCTTCCACGCACGAGACCATGACAGCCATCGCCTCGGCGGATCGTGTGGGATTTCCCACGTGATCTTCCACCATGATATGGCTGTGGTTGCAATGAATATATGTATATTATAATATATATATATATTATAAAACGTATATCTATAGATATATATATATATTATGATGTATATATACACATGATGATTGGAATAATGATTGGAATAAGATGGAATAAGTGTGGCGGTTGTAATGGCGATGGTTTCCTAAACGAGACCTCCTTTCACCACTCGTTTCTCCAACGATGTCAAGCTCCAGAGTTCAGGCCTGTTTGGAGATCTTCATGGTTGGATGAACCTGCGAATGATTGCAACTGAAAAAACGAGGCTCCCACGGTAGTATTGATATCATCTTTACGGATCTACTTTGACATTTATATACATTTATATACCACAATGCCGGCTGAGTTCCCATATATATATATACAATTATACAATATTATTCAGTATTATCCATCAGCAGAACTTACAAACATCATCCCATTCCAAATTCTCAGGGCACCTGCTTCAACAGCTTCAACACATAGCCACCCCAGTTCGTCGCATGGGGCTTGGACTTGTTGGCCTCACTCATCAAGGAATACCAACCATCAGCACCCTCTTTCAATGTCAGAAGAATGATATGAGGTGATATGAACGGCTTCAAAAAGTCTGATTGGACTCAAAGACAAGGATCCATATTAATGCATCCTGTATGAAATATCAGCTAAATATTGGAGTCATTGTGAACTAAAACGTCCAAGAGCCTCTTCGGGTTAGCTATGGTCGGCTCCTCTTGGGCCCAGACCTTCTTCTTCGCTGGTTTGTCGCCGCCCTCGGTCATGGGCGGCGCCATCTTGCTCTGCTTTGCCTGCCATTGAACTAGTTGGAAACATTACTCAATGGATGGGTTGAAGGGGAAACATGAGTCAATGGATTTTCCCATGAAAGATGGGGAATTCTTCAAGTTTCTACATCCCTCAATAGCTTGTTGCAGCAGGGGCAGTGTGGAGAGGGTGAGATTATTGTTGACTGCAGCATTTGAGAATAACAACAGCAACAACAACAAGAAGAAGAACAACAAGAACAACAACAACAACAACAGCAGCAACAACAACAGCAACAACAACAACCACAACAACAACAACAACAACAACAACAACAGCAACCACAACAACAACAACAGCAGCAGCAGCAACAACAACAACCACAATAATAACAACAACAACAACAGCAGCAGCAACAACAACAACCACAATAACAACAACAACAACAACAACAACAACAACAACAACAACAACAACAACAACAACAACAACAACACCAACAACAACAACAACAACAACAACAACACAAAAACAACAACAATAACAACAACAACAACAACAACAACACAACACAACACACAACAACAACAACAACAGCAACAACAACAACAACAACAACAACAACAACAACAACAACAACAACAACAACAACAACAACAACAACAACAACAACAACAACAACAACAACAACAACAACAACAACAACAACAACAACAACAACAACATGCACATGATATGAACATAAACCATCAACTGGTCGTGCTAGTGACCTTGAGGGAAAGTATGCCTCACCTCCACCCGAAAAAATCCAGCCTTCAAGGACATGTTTGTCGCCTATGCCGGGAGGGAGCCGAACAATCCTCAGGGAGCGCCATGTCGCCAGTTTCACTCACTGGGCTACCCGGGAATTCCCAGCATTAAAATCTTAAATCCCCATTAACCACCATATTACAACAGTTGGGGAGTCCACAGGCAATCCTCACCGAGGTTCTGTGCAGGGTAAAAGCACAAGGCCACGGAAGACAGGCGCAGCAGCAGGACTTTGTTGAGCCAATCTTTGCGGATAGGTCGGCTATTATGTGATGATAAATAAAAACCGATTAACCACTATGTGATATATATATATATTATAAATATATATATTATATATATATATATATATCTATAATAGAAACATATAGAAAGATGATGTGGATGCATGTCCTGCTATGACCTGCTATGGCTATGCGTGGCTTTCTATCGTCTTTCCGCCACCTTTGAGCCCCCAACGGTGCGGCCGCGCCCGCCGCGCCCGCCCCAGTGCGGTCCCCGTGGTCCCCGCGGTCCCCGCGGTCCCCGCTCCGTGGGGACCGGCGAGCACTTGGAGGTGCGTTGCCCGGAGATCGTCCAGGTTCATCCGGACGGCGCGGGCTGCTCCTCTCATTGCTGGAGATTTGGATGTTGGAATGATAATGAATATATATATATATATGAATATATAAGAATAATAAGAATGATAAAAATGATAATAATAATAATACTAATAACAATAATAATAATAATAATAATAATAATAATAATATATAATCGCTCTTTCAGTTTTGAAGGTATAATGATCTTTGCTCTGGACTCTGGAAGATCAACTTGCAGGATGATACATGCAGTCTTTGGTACCACACCACAGCACAGGAAACTGGGAAGATTATTCTTCCACTGATTTCAATACGAATTTCAAACGTCTCAATTGTGATGGTTCCTCCCTTCAACAAGCTTTGTTTCATCGTAGATTGATAGTTTTTGGATGGTTATAAGTTGGTTCAATAACCCCATTAACTTTACTTATAAGTGTCATAATCGCCATGATCATAATCCAATAAATGGTGACTATGAGTACTACAACAAACTTATAATCATCAAAATTACCATGAATGAACTATAATCCCCAGGTTTTTCCACATTTTTCCACCAACTTTCGCTGGTGTGGCATTCCATGGCATTCCTGGCTGGCGGTGCCGGCGCGTTGATGGCCGAGTAGAGGTCGCTGAGATCTCAGATGGCCATGGCTAAAGGTATCCAAAGAATTCCAGAGATCACAGTTAGAAGCATGGAACCGTACCTTAGGTACCTTGAGAAAAAATGGGATGAACCCACAATCCTTTGCCGACCCCCCCAGTTGAGGTCATTGACAAATATGCTTCACCAGGGTCCCGAGCTGCCGCTGACCCACTCATAGGCTTCTTCCAACCTCAAAATGTCTCAATTGACAGTCCATGGTTTGGTCTGGTTGTGACCTGGTCTTTATATATTTTATATCTGTCAAATCCAAGAGAATGTAGTTGGAGTTTCACGAGACTCTACATATTTTCTTGTTCATTTGCCCAAGGATAGTTAAAAAACGATGGGAAGTCTGGCTGCCATTCCAGCTCCAATGGAGTTCGTGGTAATGTGAGTAAAGCATAAATGGATCCACCATCCCCATTTTTGCCAGAAATGGATGATATAAACCATTAACATATGGGTATTTTATCATTGCTTTACTAACATTGCACTATATTACACTATATGACTGACTATAATTTTGACATTAATCTAAACAGGCGTGGCTCAGAAATCTTTGCCGAAGGCCATAATGACAGAAAAATCATGGCTCTCGCTACAAAGATCTTGATGGGGCACATTCCCATCCCGCAAATGTTGGATGTGATGTAGGAAAGTATCCATGATATTATTACTTGCCAAACCCATTGAGACAATAGAGTAGCCGTCAAAAAAGTGAAGCCACAGTCACTTTCAAGAATGGCTGTTGAGAGTCACGCCTGCTGTACAAGTCCGGCTGAGCCTCTGTGGCACATGTGTTCGGGTGCCTTGTCAGAGTTTCGATATCTTTGGTGATGAAAGTATTACTGTACCGATCAAACACCAGTGCAAACAATGGACCCGTGAAAATTGTCCAAAGGCTTGTCATTTGACAACTCCAATCTCTTTAAGTTTCAGGCTGTGCATCATGCGCAGAATGGTTTACTGGACTGTGATATTCTGGAACGCATCAGTGGGTAATAGCCCCAAGCATCACTGCACTTTGGGAATACACTAAGCAGTGGCTATCCTCTTGCAGCTATGCTTTGGAAAAAAAAACGTAATGCTTGAAGTGTTGTACAGTTGTCAACGATGTTAGCTGACGTTGCTATTCCAAATGGTGACACCTTCAATGGTTTGATTCATGCGGAAATCGATTTTCGGAAACTCAGGAAAAGCATGGAAATTCTTAGAATTCCGAAAAATCCTTGGAAATCCCATGGAATTTACCACATTTTACTATATAGCCAAATAGCCAAATCCTAGACATTTTTGCCATGGCCATCTCTGCAAGGTGCCGGAGTCGATGGAGCTGCTGGAGCTGCTGGAGCTTGCGGAGCTTGCGGAGCTTGCGGTCTCCCACCAGCCGTCCGCTCCTGAGGGGACATGGTGGACATCATCATGCTATAGCTATATATATATAAATGAATATATAATGTATAATAATAACATATATGTATATACATACACAATATCATATAAATATAAATAAAGTTGATTAAATATGTTCTAAACATACTTTACGTATGCTGTATGTGTGAGATGAAATAATTGTACTATTGATGATGAACTACAATAAAAACTATAACAATATATATATATATATAATTATATATATAATGTATCATATTACATATTATATATATAGGCTTTTTATCATCTAAATCAAATATAAATGAACATCCAAGTACCCTGAGCAAGAATGCGACACCAAACAACAGTGCTATTCTGCAAACAAACATCTTTTCCATGTGTTGACTACGTTCCCATGACTTGTATCTGCATTCAATCTTTGTGGAAGATCTATAAACCGAACAAGGATTTCCCAACGGTATTGCTGGCACATCGAACCTGGTACCGCTCATCGTTGGAGCGCATGGATATCAAAAGTGGAAGCGGTGGATCCGTGGATTCGACTTTGATGTCGCTGGTGCGATGGGTGGTGGACCCTGCAATCCCATCAATGCTGTGGTTTTGGCATGGCAAGGATCATATTTCTAGTACCCATTTTTAATGGGAAAATCCACTATTTCTATAGCCATTTTCAATAGCTATGTTAGTTTACCAGAGGGTATACTCTGAGAAATCTTGAAAATAGACCCAAGTGAAGCCAAGTGAATAGTAATTGCAACAGCTTGTCTTTTGCAACCCACTGCCTTTCTTCGGGAAGTCACTAAACTTTAGTGCATGATTGTTCGGCGCTGCAATTCAGTGGTTGTTCAAAAGCTGTGCACTGATTGCACAACCAGCAGCTGCGGCTAAGCCCCACATCCAAATCTACCAACGTTCCCGACGTTCCCATGTGGCTCCGGCTCCATACTTTGGCTGAAAGAAAAGTGTCTGGAAAACTATGGAAAACTGATGGGCCTACAGGGGTTCAAAAAGCTTGGGGTCGATGTCAAAAGCACAAGCTTCAATATAATCAATATATATATATATCAATATAATATATCATTTCCACCCAGATGGGTGCATTCATGTGCATTCTATGTGAGTGCAAGTAGACAAATCAGATGGAGCAACCTCTGCGCTCATTCACCACTGTTTCTTCTGCGAGCGACGCCAAACGTTGCCATACCTTTAGGTCGTGGCTTTGCCAAAGGGCTCCCGGTGAAATTGAGACACGTGTTTCAACTAATCTCGTCCACAAGTGGAGGCTGCTGTGGCCTTGGATGTAATACTTTTTTTGCGAATTGAGTCTGAAAGCGCTTTGTTAAATGATGTTCAAAGGTGTGCCAAATAACTCCTCATTGAAAGAGATACATATATGTCTACTCGCATGAATTCACTCACGTTGGCGATAACCCCTAATATCCCTAATTAAGACAGATTTCTCAGGTCTTTTTTCTCGAAAGACGGTGAGCTGAATATATGTCCAGATTCGTAAACAAACAGGGACTTTTGCAGGCCTGTTGACTGGATCGACCAAATCATACCAAATCCATTCAAACATGTTCAAACCTTTTCAAAGTTATATTGCAAAGGAGAAATCTGACTGGTCGGGTTTAATGGAATATGGTTAAGTTGAAGACTTCTGTGCCGGGAGCGCAGTGCACACCACCGAGCAATTCCCTGGATGGGATCTACTGGTCGATGTGAAAACCGTTTCAAATCTAAAGCAAAGTGCACCTGATACGATGGACCCATGTGCCTCCACTATCTGCAGACCATGAGTCTATGTGCTGCTGGCAAATTGTCCCACAATTTGAGAGAATGGAAGCTTTCCGTGGGTCCAATCGTATCATTTATCCGGTAGGATGTCGCCTAAGATCGAATTATCGACGTGCAAGCTCAGCGTATCAAGGATGGCAAGACACCATATACTTTCCTATTCTGATGTTGCAAAGGGTCTTGTTGCCCAACGGACAAACTGATGGTCATGGTTTCTGACTGATGGGATGTCAAGAGGTCTCTTCGCACGGAGAACGGACGTTGCCCCTTCGCAACTTGGTGACCGATGCTTCTGCAATGGAGAACTGGTGCGGTAAGGTTCAAGCAAACAATGCAAAACACATCGAGCCCGAAAAAAAAGGTATGTACTAACCATACCTGCTATATCTTATGGACGAACTTCTACTTCCATCTACTTCCTACATTTCCAAAGATTTTCTCCTGCCTTCCGCCTGAATTCGGCCCAGCTGGATGATCCGAGCTGATGCCGTACAGCTCGTTACGGCCACTTTTTTTGCATAAAGATCAGAGTCCTGAGTCCTACTACTGTATAATCTGTATACAGGATACATCAGGATAGCACTATAATTGACTATGAT